CATAAATTGTTACTATTTTAGTGGATCCTTCCATTCCTTGCATTTTGACACCAAAATTAAGTTTGTAACTGCTTAAATCATCTTTTTATTTAAAAAATTGTATTTTTGGGAAAATTGTCTATTTTGCGATCGACGCGTTTCATAAAATCGCTGATAAAATAATGTTTGCGCAATATCCCAGATTGCCACCTTCATTTTTCTTGTTCTATACTATATTATAAAGATATTAACATAGGTCTCTTGCTTTAATCATTAAATGCCCACGGGAATGCATAAGCTACCTGACTATAGGTTTGACATACAGCAGCATATTACATGTGTGAGTGTGACACATATCGCCACCTATTGGCCGATATAAATTTTAGTAATAGTCTTGTTACGTCAGCCGGGGCACCCGACGTACCTTGACGCATTTTCCGTGTCAAGTTACTGCCATGAGTATTTGCTCTCCGTTTAAATGTATAATTTCAATTAAATGTTATTTTATTTAGCAGATATTTATAACACGCGCGAAACATGTTTATATGTGGCTCTTAGTTAATGATATAATACTAATAGAGCAAGATTCGCTATATTAGGTTGTTATTCAGAGTCCACCGTCTGTCCAACCTCTATTAAATTAATATAATAGTATTTTACTGAAAATATTATAGAGGCCACATACCCTCCACTTCTTTTAAACGTCATAAAGTGACCAGTTGTGACAATTTTTCATGTAGCGTAATGGAATACTATGCCTCTACCGACTGAGCCAATTTGCATTTAAAATTTTCCTATAGTGTATGTAATATAATACAAATATTAAAAACAGACAAATAATATTAAGTAACAGAATAACATTCTATTATGAGTGAATAATAATAGATTTTATTCTATTATTATTCACTCCTGATTCTATCTATGTGTACATTAGTATAAGAAGGGACCCATGGCAGAGCGCTACCTCCAGTACATCAAGCCACGATTCCCAGCTATGCTAATGTACAGGGAAAAGGCGCCCGACGTCCGTCGCCGTTGACTGCCAAGAGAATTTTCTTCGGCCGTTCTCATGCGTTCAAAGTAGTCGCGGTGGGGTGGCGGCGGCAGGTTTACATGTTCAAATCTGATCTACATGCTTTACTCGGCTCGCAGCATCGCGCCACTATTCCCAGCTATATGCTAATGTACAAGGAAAAGGCGCTCCGACGTCGGTCGCCGTTTACTGCCAATATCATTTTCTTCGGCCGTTCTTACACGTTCAAACCATAGAACTAGAATAGAACTTCTATTCTAGTTCTATGGTTCAAACTGGAGCCGGGTAGGCTGACAGGACGTGTGCTTGGTAAAATCCGATCTAACATATTCACTTTGCTCGCATCATCACGCCCTAGGTTTCCCGCTATACCGATATGTATATGTGTATCTATATAATAATATAATATATATATATATATATATATATATATATATATATATATATATATATATATATATATATATATATGCTCACGCGGCATTTACCGTTGTCAAGAGCATATTCTTCGGCCGTTCTCATGCATTCAAACTAGTCGCCAGCAGGGTGCAAAACTCTTACTTCATCCCCTCCCGTTTTCCCACTGCCTTTCTTGCCCCTCGCATAGACTCCTTCGTCTACCGCCATCTGCTATCTTCCCTGTCGTCTGTCCTCAGTTTCCCTCCCCTCTCTCCCTCAGCAAGCTATATTATGCAGTTTGATCATTGATTCCGTTCTGAGCGACCTGAAACTGTGCTCGCGCATGCGCAATATCTCACGAGAAGAAGAATATTTTGAAAAAATTATGCATTTAAAATGAAGAACAGGTATCCTAGCATAGGTATCCCAGCATTTATATGATAACATATCATCAGGAGTAAGATAATATAGGATCCTATATTATCTTACTCCTGATATCATCCGTAGACCATTTAGCTAAGTTAAAAAGTTGATCAACTTGTCAATTTTTCAACAAAAAGTTGGCAGTGTACACGTTGCTCAAAGCCACAATGCCAGTTTTCCCCCATTTTTTCCCCTTTTTTTGTAGGCATTTGTTTATATCATTACAAGTATGAATGTGATTAAAATATGACAATTAGTGTAAGGATCTATGCTAACTGTGTATTATAGCTTATAGTATAAAAATCAGAACACTAGTTTAAATGTACATAGGATGTATTTCCAAGTAGAGGTGTTTCTCTGCAAGTCAACAACGTTTACAAACGGCACACGATGAACTACATAAATTACAGTTACATTACAAAACGATTGACAACAGAAAAGCAGGGAACTGTGCACAAACGATCGTGCACAACTTGTATAACACTGTCTCATACTTTCAGTTTTAACAGGTGGCATACCATCGCATTAAAAAAACCCTACTTCTGTGATGTTTTCTTCCGTATGATACATTGCTAAATTTGCACTCTTAGATGTATGAATACCACTCTATTCCCCGGCATTATAAAAGCTTGGCAGTGATCTTGACGCCCTGTTATTAAATACGCTGCTGTGAGTACATACTGACATTTCTGTGTGACCTATGTACAAAGATGAGTTACCCAAACATTTCCTAAAATTGCCTGCGGCAAACCTCTCAACTCATCTATCAGTCTTCACAGTAGCCTGCCCTTTATAGCAGCTTAGTGCACACATTGGCAGACGAACAACACAAACACGATAAACATCAACAAAAATGCCTCTTTCAGAAGCATTTTACAACAAACATGGCGTAAAACTTCTCGACAAAAACCTCAGCGTATCATTAAATAACATCGGTCAGGAATACTTACATCTGTAAGGCTGGTATTTTAAATGGGCACTCGCAGTTCACTTTATCAAGTGCAGGCTACTTCTCTCACTTATCAACCAGCATTGGCGTGAACACCGAAACCGCTCGCTCCTCTGTGCTACGGTACGGACCTTCATGGAGTCAGATTGAGAGATGGATTCTAAGCGTTTATGTTAGTTTACGGAACAAATACACTCGCTGCTAAGCGCCATATATTTATGCCAATTCGAATAACTAACCCATCAGCCACGCATGCCACATTGAAGTTTTACAACTTTAACTTCGCACAACGTTCGAGTAAATAACAGTTACTGTCACCTCCCATGCCCGTAGCTGAATCTGGCGAGTATGCCTGTTCACCATTTGCAGAATAAGGCTTTTAAACCAGCGTGATAACTCCTACGCACGTGGAGTTTCAGCACAGAAAACAACATTTTCTGGTACTGCCTGCCGGTTATACACACACTGTTTAGCAAAAGAACTTTAAAATAATGCCAACTTAAACACTGTGAGAGTAAATACGTGCAGTGAGTTTCAAGTGGCTTCTATGAATGCACATCTTTATTACAGCGACATCTTATGCACATCTTTTAAAAAGTTAGTGGACATAGCCGGTTATAACATAATGTAAAAATACACTATTCTATTCATCTACAGGCCACAATTTCAAAACTTTGGATTTATGCTTCAAATTGACAAAATTGACGTGGAATGACAAAGTATCACTGAGATCAAGTTCTTCACATTAAAAACAAAATGCAATGCTTATAATTACGTCTAATCCTCCAATGCTATCGATGTAGAGATTGTATACCGTTGGTGTTTTAATGCTACAGGGATATATAGACAGCATGGTTACCAATGTTAAAAAAAAATCGTATAATAGAACACGGTTCGTGCAACTGTGCACCGCACTGGCAATCTTTGAACCTTTTCAACGTTTTCTTGCTGTACGCATAGATATAGAAGAAGAAGAAGATCTTCTTCTATATCTATGCTGTACGCTATGCTCACTGACTTGCGTAGCTTCGCCAATATATTACGAATAAAAACACTGTGCTTAATTGAAACATGAGCAGGGGAATATATTTTGAAAACAAAGACAATTTGCATGGTATAATAACTTTATGCCATGCATAGTTACACTGACCCAGATGATCTATCAAATTCAAAGAAAGACCAACTTATACTTTCTAAACAACCTTGGAGTGATCGTAAAACAAGAGAACATCATCGCATGTTCCCAACTGTTACTACAATGAAATGCCTAACAATAGAAATCGGTAGGAACATAATTGTACTTACTACATATTTCTTATTATTTTTTTTACCTCATATCTAATAGATATAGTTTCTTGCAAATTGAAGCCCCAGTTCATATCCAGATGAAATTGCACCTGTTAATAACTCCAGCTACACCGTAACTACGAGACACCCAACGCTCAGACGATACCCAGAGCTGTGTCGAAATGTTCACTTTGTAACCGGAACAGGGCAGAGGCGTCGAAGCATTTCACTTCAACCGATCTTTGATGCGCTGGGCTCGAGCACCATCGCAGCACTCCCTGGCTTTCATGCTTTCAGTGGTGCAGACATCACTGGGCGATTTTCAGGAATGAGCAAGAGAAAGTGCTGGAAAGTCTTTGTTGATATGGATCCAGACGTGATGGCAGCATTTGGGCAGCTCGGTACAATGCAAAACCCGTCTGAGGCACAGATGGATCTTCTCGAACGCTATGTCTGCAAACTGTACCTCCCGAAGATGGACCTCACCACTGTTGCAGACGTCAGGTGGCACCTATTCAAAAAGAAACAAGCGCAAGCAGAGTCTGCCACCGACACATGCTGCTCTTCGTGCAGCCATCATGAGGGCACACTACCAGGCACTTATTTGGAGCGTGGACGTTGTGGCAAATCCGGAGTTACCTTCACCTGATGACTATGGCTGGTATTTGGTGGAAGGACAGTACAGGCCTGTCATGACAACGCTGCCGCCTGCCCCAGAAGCAGTGATTCATCTCGTCAGGTAATAGCATTGGCCAATATATGTATGTTTGAATGTAGACACACATAGTACAAAAAATTATGTATATATATACATATAGGTATGGTTGTGCTGACATAATAAATTAGCATTGTATAATCATGGCTATTGACGCCATTGACTTGACACAATTATATGTGACTTACATGCAGGTGCTCCTGTGCCAAAACGAAGTGTTCATCAAACCACTGCAAGTGCAGGAAGGCTGGGCTACGATGCACGGAACTTTGTAGCTGCTCAGAGGGAGATGGGTGCGACAACATGCCAGATGACGATGTTGGCCAGGATGATGATGATGAACCATCGAGCGATGACGATGAGTAAAGAATGCCTCTTCGCAGCTTGTGTATTGTACAAAATATACTTGTAGTTGGCAATTGTTAATAAAGTGACAAGCTATGATTGTGAATACTTGTTATGACTCTTTGCAATTTGCATGCTATTCGCGAAACTGTAATTTAACAAGGTATGAATCTTAATCGGCGATGTGTGTATATTATGAATGGTAAAATAGGCAGCCATCTTGAATTTGCTCCAGTTCTGCAGCAATTGAGTTATGCAGGGGTTCCCAGTTTGACATATAAGACTTTGAA